AAGTCCTTTTCAGCAGGGCTGCTCTCCATCCTTTCATCCTGCCCAGCCTTTACTGATACTGGGGTTTGCCCCAAACCAGATGCAGGACCTTGGACCTAGTCTTGTTGAACCTCATGAGGTTTACATGGGCTCACCTCACAAGATCATTTATCTTGTGGGTTTAGTATCATTTACAAAAACACTATTGAGGCATTTGAAACTACCAGTGTCCTCTCCTTTTATTCCCTCCTTATTGCTATCAAACCACTACAGGAACCAGAAAACTACCAAATGGCCACTGCTCATAGGCATAGACAGAAGAGGTTTTTTTCCAACTGTAAATTGAAGCAGCTATTTTTATAAGAGCATTACTTCACACTTCAAGGCACGAAGGAGTTTTAGCATAGGTCAAAGCTTTCTGTGAGTTTTAGAGGACCGCATATCTGTGTCCTGACAGACTTGCTGAAGTGTTGTAATGCAGTTTGGATTATAGGTATTTGTTACTAAGGTCAAGACAGAGTTTTCCCAAGGAAGTTTGCATTAACTCTTCATAGCAGCTATCCAAAGAAAAATCCACTTTGGTTTGTCTTACAATTCAGGAAGACAAGAACTATTAACTCTAGCATCATGCAGAGGTGAAGGCATGACTGTGTATTAACTACCATAAGTCAGCTTTTCACGTGTAGCAGATCTCTTTCCATATAACCACAGTAAGTGGAGAAGAGGGAAATTAACAAAAACTCCTCTAAGATATAACTTCGTTTTATACACATCCAATGTCAATTCTTTAAAAGTCATTGATTCAGAAGCATGTACAGAAATATGCACTTGAATTTGCAGATCCTGAGATGTTGTCTTGGAAAGCTGAATTCCTCATTTATTTTCTAATTTAATGATTCTAGTGGTGCTTCACTAATGAGTGAAGTAAGGAGCTACCGCAATATCCTTGGACTCATACAGAAGGAGCAAATGCTGAAAGTGTGTGTTGCACTTCCGAACTACTTTTGTTTTACAGGACAGGAATCACTATAAACTTACCTGAGTCCTGTTCAAGTAATTCCAGTCTGCCACAGCAACAGGCTACAGGAATTCAAGTGCCATGACCAGCCGTATCCATTTATCTGGATTCTTGCTGCTTCAGTATCAGTGTAGATCGACCTTCACAGCTGGGTCTGTCACAAAGACTCTCTTACAAGAGTCCCCCTGCAGCAGGCACAATTTCAGCTTGTATCCGCTACCTGACAGGACACGTGTCATTTAGGCAGCTTAGTAAAAAGCTGCTGAAACCTAATGGCCTCCATCCTTCCTGTCCTCTTTGGTACCCGCTGTAAACCACAGCCTGGTTGTGGCTCTAGGCATGGAGGAATAGCGGGGAAGCAACTGTTTCTCACGCAGGGTGTCTGGGTCTTCAGAGGCTTTTTAGGAAGTAAGATTTCTCTAGAGCGGCGTCAAAGAAACCCTCTGGTATTACACAATAACGTGTATGATCACCTGCTAACAAAACCTGCCACCTGCTATTTCATTGGGTTTCTCCTTTAACTGTGATGGACGACGTTCTTAAACACACTCAGAAAGATGTGTGATGTTTCTTTTCAGACCTGCTGCAAAACCAAAGTCAAGACAGTGCTCTGGGGAAGTTCCTACATGACAAATTTGTACAGAAGAGTTAGGTCTGGAAGCAAATACTCATTCTGAAATTGGAGGCCTTTTCGACAGTGTAACTCCAATGTCCTTACAAAGTGAACCCCTTCCCAAAGCACAACAGAATTTTCATAGAAGTAAATTCTCATCTGTAATTCATTTAATAGCTTAATTTATTAAACACATTATGTAAAATCTACATTGTTGTTTCAGTTTTCATGTTTACACACAGGAGGATTTTTATTTTTAACCATGATGTGACAAGAGCTTCCCATCGCCTACCCTTCTATGGGAGATACAAACATTAAACACTACAAGAATTCCTGGCTCATTTAACTCTCTTTTCATTGCCTTCCCTTTATTTCCCTTCAGGCCTGGCACAAACAAACAGGCTTGTATTCCAAAAGTAATTTTTGAGCGGTTCCAAGGGAAAGTCTGCTGATACAAACTCCTGGAAACAGGGAGAACTCCTAGAGAGGTCTACAATTCTTCATTTGACAAGAAGTTCTTTCATGAAAGGTCAATCTTTTTTGGATACTGACTTGCAAAAATAACCGGAGTGCCACCACTTAAAAAGTGCTGATGCACATGGTGCCATTTGTGAGAATTCAGGTACTTGTGGGATTTGTATTAGCGCTAGGTAGAGGTATTGTGACAAATCCTCAAATGATGCAGTTCCACCCCACTTTTCAGCTGCTGGCACTGTACAAAGGGAAAAAGAGGTATTGGCTACTTTTTTTTTTTTTTTAAAAAGGGAAAAAGAGGTATTGGCTTCTTTTTTTTTTTTTTTTTTTAAAGCAACAGAGCTACTCAAACTACCTGCAAACTACAGTTAATGTACATGTAAGTTTGTCATGCATCAAGAGCCAAATTTTAACAGTATGTGAAAGGCCATTATGTATGTATTTAGCTGGATCCCTGAACTTTGACAGTTATCCTATCCATACACAGAGGTCAGATTGTACCTTTACTCTGACAGCATTACCACACCATACCACATACTGTATACCTGCATTATCCTAAGATACAACTCTCCTCAGTACTTAAACATTACCCTTTATTATACATCAACTAATTTATATTTGTGGGTTTTTTTGTTCTTTTTTTTAATTATTATTATTACAGATAAAATGTTAGAATTATATACCCATTCTTCATGGTATTCAAATAAATCTAGACTCCAGATTTTTACAAGGAGGATGGAATGTCCAGCTGTTTGTCCACTCTAACAGCTCTTGCAGTTCCTAGTCAAATGATATGGCACATCCTGTGAAATGAAACTAGCCACAAAAAAAGAAAATTTCAAAACACATTAAAAATGTACACACACTGAAAGTAATTTATATTGACAAATAAGGAATGTTGTTTATTAAGGCTGTGCTTCAGAAAGAGGATGTTTAGGGTTAAGTAGCCTTCATAAAGGCACAGAATGGGAAGAGGTAAGCACAGCTGTCTGTAGAAGAGAAGTTATGTACAACCACTAGTGAGGTGTGCATGCACGCAAACACAATTTAAAACTGCACAGCTGGTCTTTGTAACAAAACTGAACATAGTCAAAAGGAAATACTGTGACTTTTTGATGGCCACAGTTTTACTTCATTATTAATAACATGGCAGATATTTCCAAACAGAAAATTCACCATTTGAATAAATGAAATATTTTAAACAAAGTGCTTCACAGATCTGAACCCTGCATGGCTGTGCTGTCTGGTCTAGAAGCATTTTGTAGACATCATAGGAGCATTTCACACAAAACTGAAAATGTCATTCAGGTGAATAAGAAACAGGACATTTCCACAGACATTTCTAACGTTTTTACACTTTCAAGTAGTTGAGTTCTTACGGCCACTGGGTTTTGTAACAAATGTGTGCTACAGCAGTACGGATTCGTGGATTCCTTTAGCAGCAAAGGCCCACTTCAAAGGGCACGTGGTCTTTTCGGGTTGATCTGTTTACTGGCCTGTTCCTCCTCCTGTAGAGCTGCCCGGAAAGATTTCACTTTATCTTTAATGAAAAAGAGAGAATGAGTACTGATGTGCCTGTGCTCAACACAGATCTTGAAACTGAGCCCTGAGGCTCCACATCCCAGCCCTAACGCACAATAAAGAACATTCCTCCACAAAAATAGCTGACACTAAAAACTACAAAAGGATTGAGATAAGCTTAAACTCCATACTCAATACTCACCATACAAGCAAGTTGCTTAGCAACTTAGTCCCTTCTTAGATGCTATATGCCTGTCTCTAGGCAGGACGGGTTTGGGAACCGCACAATTGCGTTCCAGAATGTAAATTGTCCACACTTAAAATTCTGCTTCTAACATACAGAGTGTAGGGACATACACACCACATAAAACCTTTTCCTTCCCAGTACCTTCCAAACCATCCTCAGAGGCACGCAAAATTGTATTAAGTGTACAGTCACTTCTGTACATTCTAAAGCCCAGAAGTAAATTCTGCTCCTCCTTGCTTTTTTATTAATGTGAAAAGCGTTTGTGATTAATTTTTGGAAGTCGTTCACCATAAATAGATAAATGTGTCACTCATTTGTTTCGTCATAACTATAACAAGAATGGGAGAAACCTGAGAAAGGAAGTGTGGCATCCTTTCATATTTCTGTTCCCGTCCCACTCCATTCCCCAGTAATATGCCCATATAGGAAGAAGGAAACCAAAATGACAGCAGAAAGATGTCAGTCCCAGAGTGACAGGAATAAAAGCTGAAATATGCAGTGACCTTATGTGCCATGAGCAGAACTCAGAAGACACTGGGAGAAAGAATTTTTGACTTAACTGTTCTTCCCTGCTATAAAGCTACACATGTATCATGCCGCCTTGTAAAGATGCAAGGATCTCTTAGGCAGACTTTACCTCCAGTACCTTGTTTCAAAAGCAGTATCTAGTAAGTTTCCAAAGAACAGGGAGTCATCTAAACTGTTTTTTCACTGCTGGTACCTCAAATTGTCTTCTTCTGAAGAGGAAGCCATCATCCATAAAAAGCAAAGTACCTCCAATTCTTTGCTAAATTATGCTGGTGCCAATGCACGCAAGCAGACCACATCTGATTTGCTTTATGTAGTCTTCTAACTTACAGCAGATACTCAGACTGAGTAAGAAGTAAGATTTTGTCTTATAAAGAGTTTTGTAACACAGATCAAAAAAACCCCACCCTTACCCCTCAGCCCCCAACCCCACCCTTGAATTTTTACCAGTACCGCATGTCTCCTGGAGTCCAAATAGTTACAGAAACTAAATGAAAAATTCATCTCCATGAGATACCAAGCTGACAGACCAATTAAGAAGACAAGTGGAAGAGTCCATTTTCGGCACTAAGAATTATCTGCAGTTTGTTTTTCAACAAAGAGAGGCTGAAAAAATTCAGACGGAAAGGCTGCTGAAGAAAAAAGTAAGCTAACCAAGCTACTTAGAGCTCGATGTCACTCTTAAGCACAGTCTTAAAAATGACAGTAGACTCCCTGCTACACTACAGAATGCAACAAAGGAGGAACTGGGAGTTCCTACTACTTTTTTCATTGCATTGCCTCCTTTTTTCATACAGTTTGCTTGGATTTTCTTTTTCCTTCCTTCATTGTTTTGGAACAAAGGAAAAGAAAAGGAAACTTGCAGGATCGAGTTTATACTTCCTGGAAGTAAAGCAGAGATTTTTCTTTTGAACTAGGATGAACTGAACACAGATGTGAACTTGTTCTTAGATAGCAGAATAAATGTTCCTTCAACAGGACACTGAAGGGTAGCATGAGGGGTAAAAAGACCCTAAAACACAACCACACTGTTTTTTTTTTCTCCTCATAATTACTGCAAGTCTCCATGGCATATAAAAACACAAAATGCATACAAAAGTGATTAAAAGCAAGCTACCTCTAAGTTCGGTCAGAATATCAATTTTTTGCTCTAGAATTGCTTCAAGTTGGGTAGCATAAGAATCCACATCATAGTCTACTTCTTCTGTCATCTCAAGAAGAGCTTTTTCATCTTCCAGCCATCTAATAGATTCCTAGATAAAAGTTAAGAAAAACCACAACTAAATATGTGACATTTCAAATGAGTTTCAAGAGAAAGTGCTGAATTAGACCTTTTCTCAAGATGACTGCACTGTTACTGTCTAGTCAACCTCAATATAACAGATTTCAATCCTAAAATTAGACATCCAGCAAAATTGTATGTTTTCTACATTGTTTCTTAATTCCAGTGGTCCTACCAGCGACAGGTAAACCCCAGCCACCCCAGTTCTCTTCAAAGTCAGAACATTAGGTGGTTGTGATGCTAAGAAACTCAAAGAACAGAACTTTATGTTATGGTTATGTCCCCTTAGGCAGGTATCAAACTTTGAAGTCAGGCTTCAGTTTTAATATGGGCTTGTTGCCACTAACTGTAATCATAGTGTCATTACTACAGTCAAGGAGCCAAGATAATTCTGTCCATAATCAAAACCAGTTTTTGAGAGAAGCTGTATAAAGGAAGAGCTCTTTTAAGCTCACTATTGCATAAGCTAACTCCCCAGATACATAAGAGTACAGTAGAGGTTGGTTAAAGCAGCTTTTAGGCAACTTTGCACTCCGAATATTACAAAAAAAGAGGGGGAAAAAAGTAAGTCTTGCAGCAAAGAAAAATGCAACCAGGAGTTTAAGCCTTAGAGAACCATGCAAACCTATGATCAGGAGAACTGATGCCATTGGAAATGCTTTGATTTAAAAAAAGAAAGCATCTGCCAGTTCTAGGCATGCTGGGCCTGAAGTACTAAAATGAAGTCTTTCCCTCTGTGCCCAGTAGCCCAAGCAATCTTGAAAGCAAGTCCAAACCCCACATATGTTTTTTGGCTTTCAGGACAGATGGAGATCACACTGGGATAGGATTCATCTCATCTAATGTAAGCTCAGACATCCAAGACACAAAGGCAGACCAATACCTCTAAAGCACAATTCATTCTGTCCATCTATTTTAGACATTTTTGTTAGGAAAGGATGTTTTGTATCAGCAGCTTCCAGGAGAAACCTGACAGAAGACAACTTCTGCCTGGTACAGCCGGTAGACTTTGTATTGGTGCAGCCCATCTCCACCCAGGGCATAAACTAACAAGCCATGCTGCGAACGAAGGGAGCTGAGGCTCAAACACATTTCCTTCCAGTGACTGCTGGGAGGAGCAGTAAACTCCAGCAGGAGTGACACAGAGGCAGTGACATCTTAAACTAATGCAGCTTATTTCTCCAGAAGTCACAAGCATTAGGACACAGCTACGACATATGGCATATGACTTTCAGTCTTCTGCATGTTTTACTTTTGGGCTAAAATTTCATAATAACTAAATCTCTACATCTGTTGTAAAATGTGTTATTTAGCATCCTACTGTATTTTTACGGTATTATGAGCACACATCAATGTTCCACTAAGTTAGATATTTAAATCGAGGAGATGTGTGCATTCCCTACAGGTTTAATGCTCTGCTCTTGCAGCAGATGTGCCAAACAGACAGCCTCCTAAACACTCTAAGGTTATGAACAGAAGCAACTCACGTTTCCTTCTGAAAACTAGTAACTCATGCTTATTGCTACAATTTACTTTGTGAATGTAAAAGGCTCCACGGTGCTGACCAGCATTACACTGCCTGGGTAGTATTCCTTCCAAAGACCCCGGCTAATGGCAAATGAAAACCTTTATGCATCTGTGAAAAGGAAGCCAACAGGCAGTTAGAAATACATGTCTCTCACATCTGTCTCAGTATCTCAGAGGAAGATGTGACAAAAGGACACTCAGATGAGATACTTGGAAGGACTACTGCAGTATCTTAGAGGGAGATAATCAAAACAGAAACGGTGCTGATACAGATGTTACTATTAATTGCCAGCTCTGGCATAGGAATATTGGCATAGACTAGACAATGAAATTGGAAATGTCAAGACCAATCCGAATAAACCCCCTGCAACTAGAAAAAAAACCACAGTCACTAATGCTGGACAAGGACTCCCAACAGAAAAATACAGTGAATAGTAAAAATAGTAAAAAGAAAACAACTTTTCTTATGATGATAACAGTCTATTTAGGAATGTTTGCTAAGAAGAAAAGGAAAATTTTACTAAATTTCTGGGATGATATAGAAATATGTTTCTCTTTCGTCATGGGGACAAAGATTAGTGGTTATGGGATCTGTCACTATTTGTTTGCTACAATGAGTTTAGCATAATAAAACAATTTAGAAATCTGACAGCAGAGGAATGACCAGATGCGATCATACATCTTCAAAAGTATGCACTTTCACTGCTTTCACTGTGAAAACCTGAATTCCTGGATTAGGATAAAAACAAAGTAGAGCTCAATCTTTTACCTGGAAGACAGCCCTGTGGTCTTCTACGACTTGCTCTTCCATTTCTACCATTTGTGACACAGCTTCATGGAAAGTAAACAACTGCGGAGAAACTTCCTCTTCCTAAAAACAATAGTTAAGCTTGTTAGTCTGGAAAGAACTGTGGCTATAGGAAATATGTTGAAAGGGATCCATTTCATCACAGAACACAAAAAGAAATATGCAGAGGCAGAACTGTCAAAAATAGAATTTCGTTTTTCTAAACAAGAAAACCTCCAGGAATGAGTGGAGAGGGCAATAAATTCAAAGTGTTCACTGAGTCAAATTTAATTCATATTCACTAAAAATTTCCAGCCACTAATCCTAGTGAATACCGGAAAACAGAATATTCCACATTAAAAAAGCAAGTTAAAATAGTGGGAAGAGGAATACACAAGACAAGAATGCTAATTTCTAGTAGGTTTTAAAGCCTAGAGAAAAATCCGGTTTTCTGTCAGGGCTTTTTGTTATGCGTATCAAAACAGACAGACAACAATTTAAAAAGAAAAAAAAAAGAGAGAACAGCAATACAATATTCAATACATATCAGAAATCAAAATTAAATTCATCCTTTGAAAAAAAAGAGAATAAATGTTACGTGAGAAATTTAAAATGTACAGTGATCGATACATTAGAAAATGCACAACGTGGATTTACAAACTGGGGCAAACGGCTTCTTTAGAAACGAATAGTTAACAATAAAAGGGGAAGGCACTGGGTAGGGTGTAATCAATGTTTTAGCAAGACAGTACAGTTTCTTACACAACGCCTTTGAAAACTTTCTAAAAACATATTGTAAAGCTTAATTTAATTCCACATGAACAATGAAAAAGTATGATACGAAAGGATATCTGGCTGGAAGGACTGTCTAGTGGGAAGCTCTAGGAATCACCAGCATGTTCTTATAACATAGAGTCCTGGAAGAAGAGGCAGTTACTAAAATGAGAAATACAGCAGACACCGTGAAGAGGTGTCTGAGAAGGCAGAGTCTCTTGTAAAAAACAAGCTAGCGTAGTACTGATTTTTTTTTTCTATCTTTCATCAGCATTTTCACAAACCAGCAATGAGGGGGAAATGCCCTTTAGAAGATGCCTCTCAGCTCCCCACTCCTGCACCCCAGGGAGACATGCTGGGAACATGACGTGCTGTCTCCCAAACAACGCACTGGGATTTCACCCCACGAAAATCAGGATGTCAGGAAGAGGAATGATGAGTAGCCAGATTTCTAAATGTAGAGTAAGGCAAACTCACTTGAAGTGGGTGTTGCATGCAGGGAAAATAATGCTCAAAACCACAAGAGTGTTAAATAAAACAGAGGATTGTCCCAGGATACTTCTAACTGCCTAAAAAAATATGTAGCTATACTAGAAAAAATGAAAACTAAAGAATGCCAGAGCCTAGAGCACACCCTGCCTGGACATTACAAGTCCTGGTCAACAAGGAGGATAAAGAGAAGTGAAATATTCCCCTCTCACCCTTCAAGGAATGTTTTTGGTGTTTTGGTCTTTTTTGCATGGGAATGAACATGATACTATGAAGTAAAAAGATGAAGCAGCATGCTGTATTTACTTAATGATCGTGCTAAGAGGCTGTAAGTGCACATTACTCTGAATTTGTTCTGCCTCTTTCCATGCAATGCTGTAAACCACTCACATTTTGTTCACAAAGCAGTTTGAGATCATCTCTCTGAGGAGAGCTCCCCACACCCCACTGCGTCTCCAAGTCATCGATCTGATTAGGAGCATGGTGTATAATGGGACGGATGTCTCCTGTGGCACTCGGATCGACCGTCAGCTCCTTCACCCTACGAGCAGAAAATGTTTCATTTGTAAATTAGTAACTTCCTGTGCAAGAGAGTCACAACCAAAAATAAAGTTCTACGGGTTTACGCGCAATTAATTCATTTAATAAGGATGATGATGATGTCAGCTTCACAAATCTAGTGTACTTTTGACATACAAAATGATGTCAGTCCAACTCCTAAAAAGCAGGGACCATTGAATTTCAACTACTTGCAGGTGGATTACAGTCCATCTTCTAGCAAGAGGCATTTTCTGACTGAAATCTTACTACTTATTAGCAGTTAATATGGCAAAAATCTCAAAACCCTCAACATCAACTCTTTAACAATGAGTAATATTTGGCAGAAAAGTTCATTCAGCACCCTAAACCTGACCATCTTCCTTTTTCCATGCACACAACTGTGCTTTAAAAAAGAAGTTAGTCAGTCAGTACCCCACTAGCTGTTATAACCAAATTCATCAAGAATTCTGAAGAAAATAACGATTTCCAATCAAGTACCTCTGAGAATGAATAGATCCTTTAAATAAAATAATTTCAAAGGTGAAAATACCTTAAAATGTTGGGCTCTTGCTGCATTAAAATAGGTTAAAAGATTGATAATGATTCTGTCAGAAAAAAAAGCCCATTTAAAAGCAAGTTTACGGAACAGCCACATGAAAGTCCGCAAGTTTTAGAACATATTCTTCATTTTTTTTTAAGAGGAAAATATTTTTTTCAAGTAGCACTTATTTACTACAACGAAAACTGTTTTTCATTCATCTTCAGAGTGATGAAAAGTTTTAAACATATGTATGTATGAAAATACTTTTCTTTTTGTAATTAGAGATATTCAAATTAACCTAAACACAGACTTGTCAGATTTGGTCCACTAAATGTACAAAAATGACATCACCATTTTTTTTTTTTTTAAATTTACGAAGGAAACTAGCAAGCCTGGATACAGAGTGTGGATGCTTAAGGAGGGTGAACAAAATACTGGGAAGATGGTTGCAGATCATGCAGAACCATCACCTGCCAAACAAAATAAAAACAAAGTATGTGTGACTCAAGGCAAGGGGACTAATGAAAGGTTGGTCTGTAAAGTTACATAGCCAAAAAGAAAACTTAAAAATAAAGATTCCATGTATAGAATGAAGTAGACCTGGTGATTGAAGGAGAAAAGTCGTCATACTCATAGGAAGGAGAGAGATCAGAGCGACTGCCACTACCCTGTGAGAAGGGAATGTCCGAAGGACTAATTCCAAATTCCTTTACTCTGCAGCAGCAAAATACAGCAGCAAATTAAAAGAAAATGTTCTCATAAACACAGTTAAAATGACAATTCTTTGTTTAGCATACTTCTTTAATAGTTTCACTATAAAATTATTTTTATATTAAAATACAAGTGTGCAAACATATTTAAACCTTGTGCAAGCAGAATTACAGATCACTAACAAAACTGAACGAAACCAGGGCTGCTAATTTGCAGGGGACTATAATAGCAGTGTTTTCAGAAGAGTAATTCCAGATTTCAGTTCATGCAGTTAATAACATTTGCTCTATGTTCAGTATTCCACTAAAAGGCTTCGTTTAAAATACCAAACCACTACAGCTACCAAACTTTAAATCCTATTCTGCCCCGTCTTATGCTGTCCAGCACTGAATAACTGACTGTACTATGAAAATGATAATAGTGCTAGAAAAAAATAAAATATTACACAAAACACATGAAGCAACTTTACAGTGACAGGCATTTACTCCATAACAACATACAAATTTAACAGCAAGGGGAAGAAACAGTTTCAGCATAACTATTTAGTATACTAGAAATAGGTGTTTAATTAGTTTTGCAGCATCTTTTTCTGGAGTCACTTCAGCAACACATATTCCATAAGGGGTAAAAGATCCAATGAGTCCTGATGAATGTGCAAGGTCCTTCGTTATGTGACTGTAAGCAGGGGAGTAGATGCCTCCTCCTCACCAGGACGGAAATCACACAGACTGGTCCAAGCCAGGCAGATTTGCTTCTGGCTCCCTTGATCCAGAGGGGATCACAGAGACATTGGGCCATCAAAAGGAACGGGCAGTAAGCTTTCCTAGCAGCCCTTTGTGTCCAGTTAGCAACTGGCCAGGGGTGCCCAGCCAAGCAGGAGCAGACATTGTTCTGTCCTATCTTTCACTGGAGCAAGCAGGCCACTAGATGGTAGCCTCTTCTAGCCAAACCAGGGCCTCTGATGGCCCAGAGGTCTGTTTGCCTCCTTGGTTGTTTGCAGCAAAACACGGCGGGGGGGGGGTGTGTGTGTGTGAGTGCCTCTGGGTCGCAGATCTGACTGCAGGGACACGCAGAACCTGGTCACACCATCTCCACAGACATTAGATGAAGAAGAACTGCAGCAGGGGAATGCACCTTTCACACTCACTGAAGAGAGACAAACAATTTCAGAGAGCAGCACTGGTCTCAGATCTGCTGCATCAGCCTCTGGAGGTGCTAATTCCTCTACACTGATTATAAAGTCACTGTTGGATTAACTGACTCTTTACTCAGGGTTCTTAGATATTTGCCTAAAGTTGGGAAGTATCAAGTTTCATATATACGTATAGAACAGACTGGCAACTGCATGCAATTCCACGAAGGGGATGAAAAAAATCCCCACATTGCAGAAAGGTATTTCAGCTAACACCCCAGGGCATCATCATGAATGCTGACTACCCCTAACGCACGAGATGGTGCCTCCAGAGCTGGGGCAAAATTAATAGGGGTGCCTCCCACATTCCTGGCAATCCACATTATCCATCTTTGGATAATGGCTTAAATGCATTTTCTATTTATTCTATCGCAATGGTTGTAAAAAAGTGACAATTTAAATTCATTGTGAGCCTGGATGAGTAACTTGGTTTTAAACTTACTAAGAAATGCAAGTACAATAAAATTATTCAAGTAGCTAAAATAATCATGCATCATGGAACCACAGTATTCCAAATGTCAGTGATCAACAGCCAGTATAGCTATACACAGTAACATTTTCCATACCTGTTTGCATATCTCAATGTATTTAGAGTGTTTTCACATGATGCCATCCCTGGAGAAATTGTAGCGATCTGGAGAAAACAAGCCACAGGTTAATAAATCGCTTTCTACAGATGAAGTGGCAGATGAATTCAAATTAACTTTATTTTTTTTATCTCCAGTTTCATTTGAGATCTTCTACAAATACTGTCTACTATGTACAGCTGTTCTTATACAATGACACCTCAAGGAGACAGATGTCAAGTCAAAGCTTCAATTTAAGTCAAAGCTTCAATTTAATTTTTTTAACTATACCTGGAACATTAAGGATTCATAGAAATTTCGGTCAATTTCCCCCATCTCACTGTCTTGGTAACGTAATACGTAAATGCAAAACTCAAACTGAAAAAATAGAGACTCCTCAAAAAGGGAAATATGCAACTAAGTAGAAAGTAAGTCTAATATATCCTGCAAACAATTACCAGATATTTTTTTTTATATATCTTTGTAGGCTGTTCTCCATTCCAGCAGACTGTATACTGATTTGAGAGATCTATTTTGGCCACAGTCCAAAAAACATTATATATAAGCATGTGTTTAACTATTTTCCTAATTGAAGATTTTCTTTTTCCCTCTATTAGAAGTTAGCTGTAAACAATACTCAATAGCTAACTTCTTATCAGACGTATCTGAAATCTATGTCTTTCCTTTCCCAGTGTCGTGGTTTAACCCGGCAGGTAGCCAGAAAACAACCACAC